TTGCCCTCCTTTTCCCTCCACTAATTCTCCCTATATAAACCCTTCCTAGATACAGACCCACAGTTAGTTAGTTCCCAGCAATCGTCAGTCAACGGCGCCGCTCCACGTCACGTCCAACGCCTCTATCGTCTTGCCTCCCCACCGCCGGCGTTCTGTTGCACAGTTTGTGCGGTGCCCCGGTTCATTGTCTTACGCGTCATCCTGTTCGCCATTTGACGCGTCATCTTATTCGACGTCTTCTCTGGAGTGAAGTGTTTATTAGAAGAATAAACTGCTGTGTTTCTCCCCCTTCCATCGCTGCTACAGTCAAGGGTCACGCAACGGGTCTAACAGAAGTACTGAAATGAAAAATTGGCCTTTTTTTGCAGGTCTATGAATCAATAGCAGAGCATTTTGACACGACACGACATGCACAGTGGAATGGAGTGGCGAAATTTCTGGAGCGCTTCGAACCGGGCACTGTGTTATATGACATAGGTTGTGGTAATGGCAAGTATCTCAAGTTGCGCGACTCGTTTATTAAGGTTAGGCTTGGTAGACTTCCTGTACTGGCTTTTTTTCGTGTTTTAACTTTGCGCTCTTTCCCTGTTCCTAGCGAAAGCGTCATGAGAACCATGCCCCCCTGATTTTTGCATTTGTTTTGCTAGTAATTAATTTTTAATGCTGTTGGCGTAACACAGTGGCCAGTAGCGCCACTGTCATAGTGAGTATAGAGAGTTCAGATCCGCCAGGAACAGTCATCTTGTTTATGATTCGTTAAATAAGTTGATGCTGCATGCTAGTATTTATCATCGAAATGAATGAACATACCTCATAAGCTTATTTTCGAACCATACTGGGAAGGGGTTTATCGTCAGTCTTGCGAGAAAGTGACTTCTCTTGATATGGGAGTACTGCTTGGGTGATTTTCGGAAGATCGGAAATTGGATAAGAGATTAGCATCATTCATAGCGCATGCCAGCTGCTTTTGGATTTTTCATAAAATACTCAAAAAATATAATAATCGTGAACTTTGTTATCGGCATTTGTTGGAGAAAGTGCTGACATTTGGGCGATTAACGATTACTTCTGCATTTCCTAGGAAACAGTAGGCAGAGTTAATCTGAGAAGTGGACTTTTTCTTTAGTTACTATGGTTGGTGAAGATTTTCTAAAGGAAAAAAAGGATAGGAAATTTGTTTGCTGACGAAAGCTGAAGAGCGAGTGCTGGCTGTAACAGACAGGAGGAAGAATGCTTGACGTGTCT